CACTATTCGTAATTGAATTACCACTGATCATATATCCAGCGTGACGCATCTTAGAATCGTACAAAAATAACAAAATCAACAAAAAATGGCTGATAAATAATTTGCATTGCAATTTCCTTGCATGTTTAAAGGACATAAAATAGTGAACTACACCAATACAGTTATGATATATATTTGCTTCACTCAAAAGACATTTTTCCCATGCAAGTTCACATTGCATGCTTCAGTTATAGTATTATACTGAAGTGTCGCTAAAACTGAATAAAGGACCCTAAAGGCGGTGTTACACTATGCAGCTTTCCTTGCAACTTGCAATGCAATTCTACTCCTGAGGCATCTAAAGTTGTCAAATACGAACATTTCTTACGATCTGCTAACGTTTTCTTAGCATTTCGAACACTCTTTACTAATTAATATCCCTCAAAATTATAATTGCATTGCAAGTTGCAAGGACTGAAATTGCATGGTGTAACAGCGCCTTAAGGGAGAAAAGCTAATTACCTATGAGTGACTTCAGTCTTGTTTCTTATAGGGTGAAAGAGGTGATTCTGGTTGGACGGGAGATCCGGTAACTTATAAAGCAATACGATTTTACAAATGATATATTGGGTGTATAAAAAAAATTGAAATTCAACTTTGACAGACTGCTGTATATAAAATACTACAGTGAATGATTTAATTTTTATATGGCAATAAAGACTAGCCTATGAGGTTTTCGATTAAATCTTTCGTATATCAATACGGCCAGAAATAACTATAAGTTTCGTCTGCTAAAAATGGTTGCTTGAAATCAAAATTTCCCGCTTATGGGAATCAGTTGAAGTGACACCCAAAGACGAAAGATATAATGCAAACTTAATTCAATGAAGAAAGCGCTTATTTTGCATAAGAAAAAGTTTGCGATAAATTTGCATTTCTTTTTTCAGCGATAATTAGCATTTCAAAGCCTTGCTTAACAAATTTTCAAAAGCAAAACGTCCAATTCCCATCGGCGAAAGAATGCAATTTTACCGACTTTTTTGTCGACCCATGCAATATTCGTTCATTTTGTAAATACCCTCCAATATTAAGTGTTTTCTGAGATCGAGGACCTTGATTTCCTTGATAACCTCTCCTTCCCACCTAAAAGATCGCAAATTTTCCATTTGGTCCAGTAACCAAAATTTAGCCTTTACAACACCGCGAGGGCTTCTTTTGTTTAAAAAATCCCGACAGTCATGCATATGCATTTATATACTTGATTGTCTCGATTGTTCATGCTATCGAAACCGAGCCTAATACAAGTTTTATTTACAAGAATTTTTGTTAATTGCAGTCATGCAGGCAAATAAGAGAATAATATATACTGATTCAGCAATGTTACTTATAATTAACAGGGTGATCCATCTGAACTAAAAGGACCTGAAGGCAGAAAGGTGAAAATTTTTTGAGAGCGACTTGCTGTTGTCGAAGATGCATGAAGATGAAAATGCTTACCCGCTTATATTCAATTTTTCAGGGCGTGAAAGGAAGTAAAGGACAGCCTGGTGGAAAGGTATATGGCGTTTATATGAATTATGATTAATGATCGTAATTTTGATCAATTCATATTTGAAAACCATTGTATGTATAAAAATTTAGGTCTGAACAGCTTTATTTGGGTTCTATAGTACGAACGTACAGTCTATGCATTAATGCAAATCGGGAGATTTAACTTTGATTAAACTTAATAGATCAATACAATCATATGTTAAAATGTTTGTTTTTAGATGGGAATAAATATGGAGATATACACACTAAATAGCTACTCCGTAGCCCAAAGTGGTTACTTTAACAAACTCTATCGTGTCACATCACGTGATTTAACTGACGGTAGAATAGACACTGGTGGTTGGGGAAGCGAAAACGAAGCGGCCGGGAACTACATTCAAGCTACTTACAGTCGACCCGTTTACGTGACATCTTTTACAGTGGCTGGAGGCTTTATACCATCTTGGGGTCATGGCGTCTTGCGAGGATATGGTCAACTGGATGTGGAATATTCTTTTGATGACAGAATTTGGCTAAAGGTAGTCCGTCAATTTTTTTTCTGAGTAATAATTGAACGTACATGTGGTATGATTCATATCATATAGAATCCTACCACTATATTGTAGCCAGCGAATTCCCAAGCGGGAATTATCCCCAAAATAGACGTTGGGTGAAGTTATAACGAAACGAACTGATACCAAAACATATTTATCAAAAAGAAATTAGGGAGTCCTTTGACTCGAAACATCACGAAGTGGCCTGTCGAAGTAAATTAGGATAGAGGGGGGGGGGGAGGTTGAAATACAGATTAGCCTGCAAGCAGGTTACATATATACAGGGTTATCAAAAAGCGCAACCTCAATAATTCCCTGGAGCCTACGATCTTTTGTTATTGAATCGAAGCGAACATATGAAATTATTAAGTTGGAGTTTTTGAATATTTAAGTTGAAGTTGGAGTCGGGAAGTTTTTTTATACACCCTGGTCCCTGTAGTTGGCTATACAATCATAACTCGCACGCAATCAGTGCGAGTCCGAGATGTTAATACATTTGCATTTTGAATTAGGGTGAATTTTCACTTAGAGTTCAATAGCGAGCGATTTTAGAATCCTGGCACACCGCAATCACGAAAAACGCAGATAACAATTCTAAGCAATTACGAGAACAATATCGCTTTTTAGTCAAAAAACACTCATGTTAATATTTTTATACATAGGTGGGCAGAGTGGCTTTATTTTATCACCTCCATAATAATATCACATGTAATCCAAATTAAACCCTGTTTTTGCAATTGGCACTCTAGTAGACGCTTTTATTATTGTAATTACCCGTCGAAGGCTGCAGACTGGCAGCTTAAAGAAATAAATATTTTAAACCAGAGAACGTCTGAAACTTTAATCATGAATCCTGGTTTCGGCTCTAACATATTTAAGAATTAAATAGTTACCAAGCTGAATATTTGCATGTTTTCCTTTTTGAATTTTGACATTATTTGGCATTATAAATTAATAAATTAGTGAATAATATATTAATCAATTAGTGCAACTTGAATACTCTTGGCGCGAAAAAACAACCCTGATCATGTTTTTAGGAATATTAAGAACGCCCTCGATTTTAAGACGACTAGCCAGTAGGTATTTGGCGGTACAGCATGTTCACTAGAAAGATAATAATCGTGTCATGACGAGAGTTATGGCACAGACAATCAGTGGCGTAGCTAGAACGATAATTGGGGGGGGGGGGGGGGTGTGAATATTCATCTATCCAGTTCTGCCCTACGGATTTCTTTTGTAATTGCAATAGCTTACAATAGAAATTCGTCGGGCAAAACTGAATATATGAATATTCACCACACCCCTTCCCCAATTATCGTTCTAGTTACGCCACTGCAGACAATGATGCGGTATAATAGTACAGATATAAGCTTAAAAGCTTTTAGTTTAAGCAGGTGTAATGTGCATTATGTGAACTATGTTGTACTATTTACAAACAAATAAGCACGTGTGTAATGTAATGCTTCCTTTTAGGCACGAACTATTCCTTCGCCTGTGCAAAGAGAAATGATCTTTTATGACTTGCCTCAACCTATCACTGCCAAGTATTGGCGTCTCAAATCATCTGAAGACAAGTGGGTTGGAACAACCGAATTTGCTCTGAGACCTTTGATAAGGCCCTAGGCCGAACATCGTTGCTGATTGTGCGCAAATTGAAAAATTATGTAGCGTTGCAGTATATATCCTTTATTATTAGTTTGATAAAATTACAATTTACATGTAGTAGCCTGGTGGAATATTCTCAATTATAATAAATGAAGCATATGAGAACCAGTATTATTTATGAACTTCAAACAGGCAGTTATTTCAATGAAAGGGGTTTACGGGAAGTTATAGACAGATGTACAATCAGAACAACTTTGTTCAGGGGCGTAGGAAGCATCCAAGAGATTGAGAGGCACCAGCTTCCAGGGGCACTTTTGTTAATAAAAAGGGCAGATAAAAATATGTATAACATATTTCATCGCCAAAGCTCCAAGGACGCTATCACCAAAGACATCGTACAAATGCTATATACCTGTACTAGAGCTGTAACTCTCACCCCCAAATTCAGCGGTCTAACTATGGCCCTGATCTGTACCTTCAATTGCACAAGATGAGCCACCTGCATTCGACAATGTCAGCTTCTCAAGGATCAACTCCGTTCCACCGCTTCCTCAGTTGCTCTTTCTTTACAATTGAACATAGCAAATGCTTCGCCAGCATGAACTGTTAATTTATTCCCATTATAATTATTTCACAAAGCCATGGATTTCAGAGTTGTGAGGCATTAATTAGGCGGCATGTGTTGTTTGGTCAGTTATTTTCTTCCCCAGAGATATCAAACATTTGCATTTTTGAATTAGGGTGAATTTTCACTTAGAGTTAAACAGTTCTCAAGCTGAATATTTGCATGCTTTTCTTTTGAATTTTGCAAATGCAGAACAGCATTAATAAATTAGTGCAACTTGAATGCTCTTGGTGAAAAAAAGTCCTGATCATGTTTTTAGGAATATTAAGAACGTCCCTAATTTTAAGCAATCGACTACCAGGTAGGTTTTTGACGGTACAGCATATTCACTAATTATCGTGTGCCATAGGTTTATATATTAGGACGATTTGATGATTTCATTAAGCTTAATGGATTTTAGAAGTTAGAACTTCAAGTTTCTTTTGGCCAGCATATGTCATTGCCATCAGCTGCGAGATCAAGCAGTAGTTCGCCGCAGTTTATTATACTAATAATGAATATTTATGAGTGCAATGGTAAGAATATTTTTATGAAGTGAAGCTGAGTTGAATGGAACACTCCATCTTTCACCGAATGAAAATATTTTTACCATTGCACGAATGAAAACATTCATTATTTGTTTATATGACACCAAAAAAGATCAACTTAATAATAAAAGTGAAACAATGATAATAATTGATAATAATAATTAATAATAATAATTCAGTGAAAGCAACCGTGAAATGGAAAAAACTATTTGCACGGCTAGACTGGTCAGTAAAATGGAAATTTCTATTTAATGCCACGTGATCAAAAACGACCATTTAAAAGACATTATACTAATAAGGTGTTATATAAAATTAAATGTAAATCGGCAATCATAAACAGTAAGTGTCTATTATCTTGACCGCTTCATCCAGCCACTGCTTAATTGCTATAGAGATACCTGCTGACTTAAACTTTTAAGAAACATCCTTCAGATAAGCATTGGATAACAAAAAAATGAAGTTGTGCTATATCACTGCTATGCGCATGTTAATTGCGGCACACGCTGCCGCTGCGTATGATATATTACAGTCTAAATAGTGATATATATTATAGTTCTCCGTTATTTAAAGTCTTCGTAGAGTAAGTCGTGAAGATGAAGAAACTTCTAAGATGAATGGACCTTCACACTGTGGTCGAAATGTTGACGGAATAATGTGGTATGAGCCAGCAGGTACATCGGAAAGTTCCAATACACAAAACCCAGTTCTACGGAGGAAAAGATATGCGGGTTATATACACGAAATTGCGTCAACGCAGTTTTCGAAATAAGGTTAGGCTGAAGTCGCTCAGATAATCTGTTCTGTACAGAAAGATGGCGAACAAAGGTGCCAGGCATAACGTTACGTAATAAGCAAGAAAAAGGTAAAGTATTAGACGCCAACTGGCCTCAAGGTTCAGTTCGTTCCATTGAAAGCAAAAGCATATTGCAAAAACGTTTAATATCACCTAAGATGGCGCCTATAATGACGGATCACGACGTCACCTGCCATTCAGCAACTCTGGCGATTTTCTCCCCCTAGTGTACGCTGCATAGTAATCATTGAGTGTAAAATACTTTGACAAGCTTATAGAGTACACTACGGTGTACATAATTCGCTCAATACAATAACACTGTTAGAAGGAATCGCTGATCAAAATCGCCCGTGTAGCGAAGGCTTAACACAAACCTGTATGACTCAACTGATTTCTTGAAAACTGGGTATCCTCCTGAAGATGCCAAAGATATCATAAGGCAACCAACAGCATATTGTCTATAACGTAATCCTTTGATGTTAGCAGACAATCATTGGGAGCTAATAATTACTGAAAGAGTTAGGGTTTTCCGCTGTATTCTAAAATCTCACTCATGCAGTCATATACTCACTACACTCAACGAGTTTTAGTGCATATGAGTGAGCTTTTAGAATCAGGCGTTAATGTTAGGATTAGCTCATCAAGATGGTGTATTTCGGAGTTAACTACCTTTAACTACATCAAAGTGTATAGTTAATTAAGAGGCTTGCATGTAGTAAAAATATACTGTTTCATATTCTTGTAATTTTGCATGGTGATATCACAATATAAGTAAATTATCTTGTAGGTACACCACGTAAGTATTTACCGCTCCGTTAACCCGGGCCTCCCGCTATGAGATATCGAAGAAAATCTGCTATCAATCTGAAACACCTACCTTGGTCCACGCACTTTGACGAGAACGCTAAGTGTCGTAGAAGGCGCAGACTCTTCCAGTTCGCAGAAATACACAGGGTTGTTCTTGTGAGTTTCGGGATAGTTGGGACAACCGCCTGCAGTAATCCCTTTCCATTCTCCAGTTTCCTATAAATGAGGATAATACGAACGTATATACTATATTAAATACACCAAAAAGGTTTTCAAAGCTACTATATTAAATATACCAAAAAGGTTTTCAAAACTCAATTCGCTAAACATACGAACCTGTTTGTGACAAACATAGGGATTCGGTACGGGAGAGAGTTTAAATTCAGCTGAAGAAAATACCTATAGGAAAAACATGTCAGTGTAGTCAATTGAAAATTCTACGTGCATGCACATGGTATACCAAACACTTTCTCCAGCAATGTTTCACGCAGAACGATGCTTTTGGCACCCGTGAGCTAGGCCCAGCGAACTCTATTTAGACTGGAATGATAACTAAGGGTTACATATAGCCGCCATCTTTGAAGCCAATTTTCAAAAAAGAAACCCAAATACGCTAAAATAAAAAGAGACATTGCAGGCATCATGAAATACGCGGAAAAACCTTGGAAAGAGGATGAGGTAACGGCACATAACGAGAATCCGCTGGCTCTAGTTGGACTGAATTATTTTTGAACAGTACGTTTTAGCAAATACTTTGTTTCCAGACTTTAAAATCCGCCGACGTGCAAACCGAAGGGATTGGGTTCTATGCATGGAAATGAAAGTAGCGGGGTTAATTGTGAATTTTTGAATCAAATAAGATCGCACCTTCAACGTGTAGTGTATTGCGTTATGTTTCTCGTACTGTGAAAGCACCAGAGTGAACGTATTCGTTGTTTTGTCGGGATTAAGTTTAACCAAATAATGAGGACTGTTGATCTTGACACCCTCGATATAACAGTTGTCTAAATGAAAAGAAATGAACAAATTCGATATATATTTATAGCCAGTATTTGCTGCCATTTTTTTTTCTTTTTTGAGACGTGAATTATTAGATATAAGTACCTATTTTGCATTCACATGGTTTTAACATAATCGTAGTTGTCGTGAACAAGTCATTATTACTGATGAGAATTTGTCATTATTTTCTGTATGTAAAATATCACTGAAGACTGTATACAGATAGCAATATTCTAATACATCGACCACCTTGACATGTTCACGACAATTACAATTAAATGAAAACCATCCAAAACGTCGATGTGCCGACGGCTAGTACAAAATTACGCACCGTCCTACTTTCCTTCTACAAATGGATGTGTGTTAGAATGTAAAAAGATTACCCACCTGGATAATAGACCCTTTGCCCTGACGTTTTATAAACATGTACGGTAATAAATTCTTTGTTGTTTGCAAAGTCGTCCTTGGGTACGAAGAAAATTTAAATAATTATTCGTGAACAGCACTTATAAATAATTTCTCTTTGTCTGGATTCAAGCACAAATAAACGCATGTGTATTTGTTGCTATAAGATTTCACTCACCCTATCCAAAATATGCCTAGTTAAAAGGATCCAAACGACCGGATTCTGATCGCTGGTAAAATTAACTTGAAGTTTATACTGTGGATTTTCCCCTGGAATGGAACAGCACGTGCATGTGAATTAGCTATACACATATTCCAAAGTGAGCTAGCTATACACATATTGAATGCCCAGAAAAGTATGAGAAAACAGACTTACCTAAATTGTATGCGTCCCTTACAGGTCCTTCCGCAGATTTCCACGTCCTAGTTTGCGAAAATAACTTTGTATATAGATGTATGCCGTCACAAGATTGCAAGAAAATTTCTTAAACCTATTTCACACTATATATATAGTCACAGGCAAAGTGTGTTTCTGGTCCCGTAAACCCTTGTTCTGCCAAAACTCACTCAAATGGGGACATTAAACTTTTTTATATAAGACTAGATCCTGATTGAATAAATATTAAACTATTTAAAGCCAGTCTTAAATCGTACAGTTGAGAGGAATCAACCACCGTAGGTATAGATCAGGAATTAAACCTATGCCATTGTGATATGCTGGTTGATGAGTATATTTAACCTCCCCTTCGTGTGGAAAAAGAGAATGCTCTTTGCATGGGTATAAAGTTAAAAATCGAATCGTGTATCAGATTGTAATACTCACGAATGGAGGACGTAGCGACTTGTAAATAATTTTGGATTCCAGTTAATGTACAACACGTCATAGAAGTGTAACAAAGACTTCCAATCAATCCAAAAAACACCTAAAAATAATAATGCATTTCAGCGCAGTTTGAGATACCGATCTGTCGTCTTTATTTTCATTATATTACTCTAGTCTATCTTACCATTGTCGACTCGGATTGCACTTTTAAGATCGAAATTTAATGCCTTCTGCAATTCAGGAGTCCAGTTTTCAGTGTCTTTTTCAGAAAAATTTCCCTACAACATTCCGATAAATAAAACAAAACAACTTTATAATATTGAATTTACAATGCAGATCAAAGCGGTATATAGGTTTTCAAAGTTATTCGCTTGATGCAAAATAAAGAACTTACCTTCCATCTCAAATGTGTCCAAGGATTTTTTAGTTGAAGAAGTCTGAAATTCTAAAAATATCGTACCATGTAGGTACATAGTGTGCAGCATTTTTTATGCCAATGATAACAGTGTGGAGACATCGATATATAACTATCACACATTCAACTTGCTCTAGGAAACTTGGTGTTGGACAGTGGTGTGGTGGAGGGAGGCTAGTTGCGGGTGCCTCCTCTTCCCTTAGCATTATTTAGCATTCCAAGACTACATCACTAGCGTTGGTGATCTACATATTAAAAAGAGGACATGAAAAATACCTTGATTTTTCTAATGTCGAGTACGGCATAAGCGTGAGTTGGAACAAGGCCTGCTTGGTCTGCAATGGCATCACCCAAGTTACCAGTAGCAGCTGTTATTAAACAGTCGCCTGAATCAAAATAGATTCATACTCTGTAAGAAATGCTTTGAAAATATCTGTCAATCAAGTATACCTATAAAATTGACTGTTGGCTCTTTCAATCCCAGAAAAAAATAGCGGAGAAATATTCATACTTATAAGTATCGTGATGAATAATTATATCGTACTTTACCTCGATGTAATCCAGAAAAAATTCGATCAAATAAAGAATCCGTATTGAAATCGGGGCTATCTAATTTTATTGAAACTCTTTCTGGAATCCATCCAGTTAAAGCATGAAGGTCAATATTCTAGAAAAAATATATGTCAAATTTATCACATGATTATTAGTACTAGTGGCAGAATAGCTTGAAAGTCATATTAATCTACTTACTGAATTTGAGCCAGGAAAGTCATATCCTCCCATTACCTGAAACAAAATCAGTATGATGCAAATGAAGAGGAAAGCAACATTATATACTCTTTGCGCCTAATTTTGATCACAGCGCGAAAAAATTCGCGTATTGGATAACGGGCCACAAAAAATACGCAAATTAAATAAACTCTCGAGAGAACCAAGTAAATTTATAATGACATTCAAAAACACCGTGCATGTAATCATGCATGCATTTCTAACAATTTGAAACTACTAAACTTGCTTACTGCAACAACATAAGCCAATTAAATTATGAACATTTTCAATTCATTTACCTTCAGATATGCTTTTTCAATAAGGCTAACCCACATTTCATTTTTGTTCATAGAGTAGGAACACAGCAACTGACCATCTTCACCTAATGGTAATTTGTCGTCAATAATTACCTATACGAAAAAAATAGAAATTAAATTCGTCAACAACGCAATGCAATCCCTCGACAAGTATACAGACATTTGTATCCTAAACCGTATATTATATAAATTTGTAGCTCAAACAGTTCTCCTGTAAACCAGGGGCCGGTTGTATCAAGCCTGTTTAGCCTAAACGGTGGTTAAGCTCAAAATAGAAAGCAAATCTATCGCTTTATTCAACTGTTAGTTATTAACCTTAGTACAACGATTTCGTGAATAATATTCAAGTTAACTCATTCAAGAGAGACGTAAGAGTGTTATTTAATTTTGATTTATGCACTGTTTAAAGCTAAACAGGCTTGATACGGCCTCAGCCTACGACGTTTTATAACACCCTTCACTCTTACAAAAAATACGTCACTTTAATTATACGAAAACTAAAAACAATATCAGCAAAAATTGTCCCTTGAGTTAATTATTTCATGAATGTTATATGGCGCAATACGTACTTTTCGAGAAACACCATTTACCCATAATTTTATCATATACTTTCCCGACGGGTTTATGACTGGCTCTCCGTTTCTGTTCTGTGGGAATATAATCCTAAGGCAATAAATGAAAATGATAGTATTGTGAGATCTGCACGGGCGCAATTAAGCTAAAAAAACACTTCTGACTTCTAAATCTTATCGCTTTTAAATAGAACTCACTTTGTAATTATACGTTTACGAAATTTCCTTTCGTATGCGGCAGAAATAGCTAATGATGCAACGAAGGAACAGTCTGTAACAACAGTCTAAAAGAGATAAGATGAAATGAAATAGGATGTTTAAACCAACCAGTATTCTAATGGCGAGCTTTTTTATTAAAAGACTGAATTGTCAACGTGTTAGCCGATATATCAGCTCCTGTATCCTTATGTAGGAACGGAATAAGGAAGCTATAGTAATATAGTAATATTTGTTTAACATGCATGCATCAACAGCGTACCTGACGAATACTTAAACTTGAGACAGCATAAATCATTTTTGGGTCATCAGTCAGGTCGCTTGGTCTGGAAGAAAACGAAATTGGGCCTCAATATGCACAGAAATGATTCACGTACGTAAAGCTATGTTATAAGATATGTTACGTACCGAACCCATTTTGCAAATCTATCTTTCTGTTTAACTGAAAGCGGTAGGTTTCCATCAGGATCACTGAAAGAAGCACATCAAACGAGATGAAAGACCGGAAAATTCGTACACTGTACATGTACAGATAAACAAAATGTTTTCTTGCAAGATCATTCAGCCCAATGAGGAACACAAATTTTGATAGTAATGATGATAGACACCTTATTTTATTGGTAATGATGATAGACACCTAATTGCTAATGATGATAGACACCTTATTTTATTGGTAATGATGATAGACACCTTATTTTATTGGTAGTGATGATAGACACCTTATTTTATTGGTAATGATGATAGACACCTTATTTTATTGGTAATGATGATAGACACCTTATTTTATTGGTAATGATGATAGACACCTTATTATTTTTATGGTAATGATGATAGACACCTTATTTTATTAGTAATGATGATAGACACCTTATTTTATTGGTAATGATGATAGACACCCTATTTCATTGGTGATGATGATAGACACCTTATATTCTAGCTAATGATGATGATTAAATGACATTAGGTATCCATGATTGATCAAATATTGTGCATGATACTGAGGACAGACACTAAAGTGTAGCAATAAATCTAATATTACCTGAATACATCAAGATAACCAAACTTTTCATATACATCAACATCAAGCCATGGCAGATACTTTTTTCCATTGATAAATGATGTTTTTCTGAAGAAAAGTATAAATGTTTTATCATTCACATTATTAAGACTTAACATATATGAAACAGAGACATTTGTTTAAATTTGATATGGATATAATGTCGTATTAGAACATTGTCATTTCAATGAGTGTGCTATTTTTTGAATAGGTACTCCTATTGAAGTTGTATTTAACAGTGCATGAAAAGAAAAATATGCACCAAAGTTTGTTAAGGGACTCACTTTAAAACTTCAAGTTCTTTGCTTGTAAGAGTTGGCTTTTTCCCTTTGTCTTGGTTTGTTTTTGGAAGAGCTGATGCTAGGTGAGCATTTGATTTTGTGGGAGATAGTTGTTTAATTGCTTCAGCTCTATATTGAGAAATGTTAAGTATTAGTAATAGTGGTATTTAATTAAATCTACTCTAATATAATAAATAATTTCTCACCTTTCAACAGCTTGCAGTGCTAAGGATTGCAGCTTGGACTGGAGATCTTTGTCTTCCAATCCTTTGCACTACAAATGAATCCCATATATTTATATGTTAAGTTAAACTGATGTGTACTAATACATGCAATAGAATTCTATTTTATTAATATTTGTGTGTTGTGGACATACAGCTTTCAGACAAATTTCTGCTGCATCTGTATACAAAGGAATGGCTTCATCTTTTCGGCCCTTCTCATCCTCTGCTAGGCCTTGTTGCAAGAAGAAACGTGCCTTTTCGAGATCTTTCTAAAGAAATGTTCAAGAGAAAACATCTTCAACAGAAAACCTGTGTTAAAATTAAACTTTGTAAAATACATTGTAAAATTCAGAATTTTTCAAATCATATGCATGTAAGGGACCCTAGTTTGAGATTCAAACTCATTTCATAGCTGATCAATTTGGCAATTTTTAGCGATAACTTACTTGTTGTGATGATTTTAGAGGTTTCTTCACATCATCACTACCTAATAATACATAAATATATATAGTGTATATAGCCAATGATTGCTAACGAATATTCAAACCACTACTTATCAAACCATGATATTTCGTTCCATGACATTTGCTGAATGGTTTGCATACAAATTTTAGATGCAAAAATATGTTAATTGTTTGATTAACATTTCCAAACCACTGAGTGCAATTTCATGATTATAATTATAACTAATCTAGTAAACATCCAACATTATAGAATCCTGGAATTCTTCATAGGAAGCAAAAACATTCTTGGGGTGCATCGTTGGGAAACTTGTAACTTTGAAATTGGGGGGGGGAGGTTATTAAATACAGATATTAAATGGAATGGAATTAAACCTATATTAACTTGTTACATATTTGCTAAGATCGTAACTTCAATTTTCAGTTGAGCCGATCCGATCTAATTTATTCAACATTTAAACGATGTGCGCTTCCGAAACATATTGTATAAAACAATATAGGAAATGCTTGAACAAGTTTGACATTATTACCTTTACTTTGATACAATTCCTCGGCTCTTTCAATATACTTTTCTACTTTTAATCGAACATTTAAACTGTTGTCCTCGCACCAAGCTTTCAAAAGTGCATCAGAAGCTTCTGAGTAGAAGAATATTGCCTGTTCGAAGTCGCCTGCTTGGTCATATTTAACCGCTTCTGTGGCAAACTTTACACCATCATCACATAATGACTGAATGTCCACCATAATTTTTGATCGATTGTTTACAGGAAGTTATACACCCGATTCGCCTGGTTCGAAAAGCCTTTGACGTTTTGGTGTACTTTCAATTTTTTCAAACTTGTTTTAAAAATTATAACAACATGAAAAGCAATCTTTTTAGAATCAACAGACCATTGGAAGAATAACTCCAGTCCAGCCTGTGGCCGTTACGAGGTCTCACGCTTGCGGTTTTGAGAAAAAGTACCCAAAAAATGCCGGCATATTCGTCATCGTGGGAAAGGCTAATTCAGTGACTCAAATATCTCCACGGAGGTACTGAGAAGTCTGAGATATACCCAGATAAATTTTATGAAATTCCCTATATGACGATGCAAATACCAAACAAACATGACCCGGTTCGGTAGCTACCCTGTATTCTGCTATCAATTTTAAAATGTACTATACAAACACTAAAACAGCTGCGTAACGTGCGCGCAGTAATTATTTTTTAAACGATTACCGTTTAAAAATAAAAGTAAATTACTTTTATTTTGGACAGTCAAAACCCTTGACAGGTGTTTTCAGGGTCTCTTTCAGGACCGTTCGCGACGGCGGCGACGCATATTCATGTTCGACGTAGTTGTCTGGAATTGTATACATTTACACATAGGTCCTTAACATGAAAGTTGCCGTCCATCGGCCGGTAAGAAGACACAAGGCTGCTTTCCACTTACGCGGTTTTTTACGCGCGGAAAACTTCAAATGCTTCTTAGTAATTATTTGTTTTTCAACACACGAGTCAACAAATGCGGAAAACATGCGGAAAACTAATTTCATTCGATTTATTCACCTAGCCCTAGGTTTTTAAATACGGATATGTGTAAGGATTTAGACTTTTACGTATATCAAAAAAGCTTAAGCGTAGAGGAAGGGGTCCATATTGGCAAATAGTAATTCCGAGTTCCGACTAATAATTTGACGACGTCCGCTTGAAGGCTAAGAATTAGAATTAAAATAGCTACTGAACTGGAATTTTTTGTCTATTGTTGCAGTGCTACCGTGCACCGGCTCTGACTATAGTCGCCCAGATTATTGTATGCATGGAGATTCTCACGTCCTACCCCCCACTAGGCACTATCCCCATGCATAAAACAACCGACTGCACTTCGGATACTTTTTTTTACATTCAAATACCGTTTATAGTTATATACTGTAATAATATACAGTATACAATTGTCTTTCGGACGTAACAATTACATGTGAACCGATCACGATTGACTACAGACTAGGTTATATAATTATGATCTATATCAGAACCAAGTTGATGAATAGGTCCGGCGTTTTAAGTTGGGTTCCTTGTGTTCCCTGGTTCACACTATTAAATAACTGACTAGCTAGTTATTCCGACTCTCGTTTCAATTTGCATGAAGACATCTGAACCTGTTATTATTTAAGAATTCGCAAATCCTAAACTAATGACTGTTTCAAATTCGAATCATGTCAATCATCACCTTTTCTGCAAAAACGATTTATCATCTTCGTCCCTTCTCGGCGTAGAATTGAATTCTTCCAGAAAAATATTAAACAGTTGAAAGTCGAATTCATTGAGACAAATGTACTCATCCACAAACTTGACGGGATCACGCTTTTATCATACAGGGATGTTTCCTGTGCATAAAATATACTCGACAGCACTATGCCTGGACAACAACAAAGGAAGAAACACATGACCGCCAGGAAACACGTAGAGACCTTTTTCAACTTGAAAACACGTTTTGTCGTATTCTCACGATTGACGATAGCAGCTGGCATTGCTGCACCGACACTATTGCCTTTTTGTTTGGCTTTTGCCACAACGTACATTTTGTAATTTAAGAACATCAGCACAAATAAGTAACCCGGGAGGTAGACAATTACCAGTATATTGTCGGGTACCAATAAATTTTGAAAAGATAATGTTGACTGGATGATATTAGCAAGGAAAACGACTCCCAAAAGGAAGTTGAGAATTCTCCTGGTTACCGATGCCCGATGAAAAACTGGATACACTATTCCAAGAAATCTTTCGATGTTGAGGATTCAATCAATAATCAATCAATAAACTTTATTTGCAGAGGGTTAAAAATATTACATAGCTAATATACCTGGTAAGTCAAAAGACTTATCTTCCCCAGGGCCCTCACTATTTAGTTAAAAATACAAGTTGAAGTTATTTACAAAAGGTAAAAAATTGTTAATTACTAGTTAAAAAATAATTAGTTAAATATTTCCTCTTAAAATCGTTTAAAGATACACTTTCTCTAATGTTTGAACTTAATGTGTTCCATATCTTTACACTACTATATCCAAACGTGTTCGTATATATCTGTTTATGTTTTCCTGGAGGCAAATACAGATCATTTGCAGAGCTTGATCGGGTTGTCCTTGTATGAACTTGTCTGACAAACCTAAACATATTTGTCATATAATCCGGACTTAAATAATTTAGACTTTTATAGACCATAATAGCTTTACGATACTTAATACGATCCTCGATAGGCATCCAATTTAAGGTTAAAAACATATCTTTACTGGGGTAACGATTATCCGTGATGTCTAAAATTACTCTGGCTGCTCTTTTTTGAGTTAAATTAATCTTCTTAACATGAGGTGAACCACCCCAAACAATGGAACAATAATCCATGTGTGGAAGAATGTGCGCATTAAAGAACAGTTTCCGTGTCTGTAACGGTAAATATCGTTTAATTCTACGAAGTAGAGCTATACTCCTATTCATCTTTGAAACAGTGGTGTTTATATGATCTTCCCAGGACAAATTGTGATTCATAATGACGCCAAGTAACGGTTTTGAAGTAACGTTTTTCAGTGGTTTATCGTTGAGGCTAACACACAGATTTTCATTTTGTGGTAACTGAAGCCGTTTTTGCCACGATGTTATGAGCATACACTTCGTTTTGTCTGCATTTGGCATCATTTTGTTGTCATTACACCAGTTTGAGATCTCATCCATCGCTTGATTTAAATTTTCATTAAGTTGGTTTATGGTTTTCGCAGATGTCGTAATAGTAGAATCGTCTGCGTACATATCTATATCACCATGTGGGATAGATAGCGGCAGGTCGTTGATAAAGACAATAAAGAGCAAGGGGCCCAGAATAGATCCCTGAGGAACCCCTTTCGTCATAGGTAGTTTTGAAGATATTTTACCATTAACAGATGTACTTTGATATCTGTTTTGTAGATACGAGGAAAACCAGTTTACAGAATTTGTACTGCATTTATACATTCGTAGCTTTTGTAGCAAGATACTATGATCAATTAGATCGAAGGCTTTACGGAGATCTAGAAGAACGACTCCGTTCATATATCCTTCATTTATCGCTTTAGCCCACTTGTCAATCATGTATGTAATAGCTGTTTCACAGGAGAATAAATTTCGAAAACCGGATTGAGCTTTGTGCAGCAGGTTGTTTGACTTTAAAAATTTATAGAACGAAATATGCACATGTCGTTCAAGTAATTTCGATAGTGTAGGTAAAATTGAGATGGGTCTAAAGTTTTTTCGCTCCTGGACACTTCCTTGTTTATGAATTGGTATGACTTTAGCTACTTTCCAGTCATCTGGGAACGTAGAAGTAGCAATAGACAAATTTAGAATCCAGGTAACAGAAGGGGCTATAGCGGTCGCACCCAAACGTAATAACTTTGGAGAAATTCCATCAAGTCCCGTAGATTTTGCGTCATCCAATTTATTAAGCTCTTCTCTCACGAAATCGATAGACACCTTTGGAATATTAAATGTTGAGTTTACTTCAATGTGATTATTTATGAAGTCCGCAAGCACTTCGCTTGTTTCATTTCGAGAGTTAGGAAGACAAGCAGCAATTTCATTTCCAATTTGGGCGAAGAATTCATTAAAACTATCACATATATCTTGTGGGTTTGAAAGTATTACATCACCATCTTTCAATGTTGTTGGTGTTGTTTTCGATTCTTCAGGGGCTAGGTCTCTAATAAGATCCCATAGCTTCTTACTATTGCCAATATTACTTTCAATACGTTTTTTGTAATACATAGTTTTACCGTTTCTCACAAGATTGTTTGCTTTATTTCTCCATAGTTTTCTATTTCGATTATCGTTTATTTGGGCAAATTTGTCCCTAGCGTTCATAGCTTTTAGCATTTCTTCTGTAAGCCATTCCGGTTGTTTAGGTTTCTTAACACGTCTTTGCTTGAGGGGTGCATGTTTTTCTACTACTTCCAGGAAAAGTTTTTCCCAGCAGTCCAAGGCATCGTTTGGGTCATCAAAAGATTCGCATACGTTCCATGGCACCAAGGTTAGATCTTCAAGAAAAGCTGATTGATTAAAGTTCTTATACGACCTATATTTGATTGATGAGTGTTTGTATTTTCTTGTTACTGAATTATGTGATCGTGAATAACAAGCCGGATAATGGTCAGAAATGCTTATTGTTGCCACTTTAGTTGCCCGTACATGCTCTGGGTTAGTAACGTAGATATGATCAATGCATGTCTTTGATGAATTTGTGACTCTGGTTGGAGCCTTTATGAGTTGAGTGAGGTTATACGATTCCATGATATCCACCCACTGTTTAGGAATTGAATCAGGTTTCAAGAAATCAATGTTAATGTCACCCATAATGATCATTTCTTTTCCTTCGCAATATGCATTCTCACACATGTCAATAAAATGTTCATACCACAGCACAGGTGATTTAGGTGGTCTGTAAATTGTGGCTACAAGTATTGGAGACGAATTAGGATAGGTTATTTCAATCCATATTGCCTCAAGGTTATCATGTCTGAGATCTATCCGCTCGTCAAAAGGTATATTTTCTTTTACTAACATAGCAACTCCTCCCCAAGTATCGCTAATACGATCTAGCCGGGAAGCCAGTTTATAGCCATCAATCTGGATATCTTTATTCATAAAGTTTTGGTTTAGCCAGGTCTCAGACAGACCAATCACATTTGCTTCATTTGGTGAATTTAATATCAAGCGAACTTGATCCAAATGAGCATTGAGACTTTGTATATTCCAGCTAACAAATTTTAATCCAGAGGGCAGATCAG